CCTTTCTAACGGACAGCGGAAAGAAAGTCACAGGAGAGAAAGTTACAAATTTGATAGGACAAAAGTCACATATAATTTGTTGACAATTGATTGATTATATAAGAGACAAATCTTGAAATAATTACTTTTTATTACATATTTTCTTTTTACAGTTTGGGAAATTGTTCATTAGCCTTGATAAATGAAGATTTATTAAATTTTAATCATTAGAAGGATATATTTTTTGAAGCACCATGAAGCCGTTAAGACACCAAGCCACTTTGACATTTTGTTTTTGAAATGAGAAGTAACACGGGTGCTATATAAAACAAATCTGCTACGAAACAGAAATATAAACCGTAAACTAGATGTATAATTATGTACATTTTCTTTTTAAAAATTGTTTCATAACTTATTCTATGTTAAATTTTTCTATAATATAGTTTATTCTTTTTTTTTTTTTAGTTCTTGTTAAAAAAGACTTGATGCTTAAAAAGGTCAGAGAAGTATCAAAATCGGGTTTTATAGGTACCTATACTAAATATAAACTGTTACCTAGATTTTTGAAATATGCTTGCATTCTTGTTGCATTTATTTTGAAATAATGTTGTATAATTTGTAAATGTAATAATTTTATCCGGTGTATCCTTATATATGATAAAACATGGCAACATATTTCACATAACTTCCATGGATAAAACAGTCACAGCGTTGCACGGGTATTTATAATTATTAAGATAGTGTTTGACAGTCCGTTTCGGTTGAATGCTCAGATAATCCGTATATTAAAATGTAAATAACTTTCACCAAACATCTGTCATCTGTCAAAAATTAGAAAAATATAAAGTAAATAAGGTACTCAGAATATATTTTCCTTGACTAATTTTATATGGGTAAGAACAATTATTTTAAATCACAGACGAAAAAGTGTTTAAGAACATTTCTGATTTTTATTACTAATCATTATATCTTTACAGACGGAACGAATAAATACTTAATTACTTAATGCAAGAAAGCACGACTGCAAAGTTTTTATGACTTGCACACTTTTCCGGTTACACCAATTATTCTTTTCTTATATAATCAATTAAATGTTTACGTGAAATAACATCGGAAAAAAATGAATTGCAACTTTGCAAACGTTATTTAATTAATAGACATACAACATAACATTAAAAGACCACAAAAGAATACCCTCCATTCTTTTCCGATTTTTATTCACGAAAGGGAAACAACCCCTAATAGACACAGAGAAAGTGTCGCCCGTTTTGCATCCGAATATTTAAAATCTTAACACGACTGAACACGATCTTAAAAAGTCTAAACAGCATTTTTACCTTTAGTCTGATTTGATCTGAACATGGTCTGATCAAGTCTTAATCGGATGCAAGAACAATCTGTCTTGTTTATCTTGACATGACTGAACGGACTTAACACGGTATATCGTGACAGCGTCTGAAAGTCTGAAAAAGTCTTGACGTTTTTCTCTAGCAGTAAATCCAGTCGATTAAGACTTGATCAGACCAAAATGACCGTTTCAGACTCAAATATTGCTACTAGTGTATGCTTCCCTGAGCTGACACTTTAATGTCTTACAATTCTTTTTTGCCATTAAATAATGAATTACTTTTCAATAACTTTCAGGGACATTTAAAAATTTGCTAGAACACTTTAAAAATTGTTTACTTTTTGATCATCTGTCAAAAATTAAGCAGAAGAGAAAATAAAAAAAATAAAAAAATATTGACACAACTTTTCAATTTAGGGGTATCTGCATTTAATGGATGCTACAACAAAACACAGTAATCAAATACTACGTAACATGAACCCTCCAAAAATTAAAAATGTTGTGTCCAAACGAATCTGTGTAGCTGTGAAAGAATATAATAAAATTGGCAAAATATTTGTGGTAACTAAATCTCCGTGATCTCTGGCTTGATAAGTTACCAGTGATACATATTTAACGTTAAAATAAGTATGTAAATAGTCGGATATAGCAAACTGGTTCGGATATCCAACACCGTAATACAACTATTACTTAACTCTGAAACGGGAAGGGCTTATTGTTTTCAAGTACTATTTTATAATTCATTATAACTACCCAACACCTCTAAGTTAAATGGTCATTCTCTAAAATGGAACCAGAGAACCATACACATTCCGAGAAAATTCGTAAGAAAGTCCCGTATGTAAGTATTTGATCAAAAGAATACTAGTGAATACAGTTTTCTTTAGATGTATTGAATGTTAATTCATTAGGGAAAATTTCCGCAGTATATGTCTTAATTATTTAACGCAAGATTGTCAAGGTCATTGTTATTGGATTTTTCAATTAGCAATTAGCTATGTTTCAACACAGGAACACGTCTAGTCTTCTATCAAAGTGATCTCTTAGTCATCATAGGTTAACCTACAACCTGTCAATTAATTGTATTGCCGAAACGTACATGGATGTCAATGTTTCCGAAATGTACAGCTGTAATCATCTCATTTACCAGGCAGTAAGTATATCATTTCTATTTATTTTTTATATCTATCAATTTGCAACCAGAATTTTGAAGGGACCATATACATGTAATTGAATAAAACATTTTTGTGGAAACGGTTGCGTAGAAAAGAAGGGTATATATTCATAAATTTTTTTTTTTCTAGTTTCCAGGTTATAAACTTTTCATTTATTTATTAGAGAAGAGGGACGAAAGATACCAGAGGGACAGTCAAACTCATAGATCGAAAACAAACTGACAACGCCATGGCCAAAAACAAAAAGACAAACAGACAAACAACAGCGCAGATGACACAACACAGAAAACCAAAGACTAAGCAACACGAACCCCACCAAAAACTGGGGGTGATCTCAGGTGCTCCGGAAGGGTAAGCAGATCCTGCTCCACATGTGGCACCCGTCGTGTTGCTTATGTTATTACAAATCCGGTAAATAGTCTAATTCGGTAAGTCACATTCATGAAAAGGGAGTGTATTGTAGTAACGACATATGGAACATATCTGATATCATCTGTGAAACGGTTATTCCTTAACGGTCAACCAACTCGTGATGGCGTCCGTAAAATTTACGAAGGGCTGACTTCAACTTCACCGTTTGGAACTCTTGGTTTAATAGCTTCATTGTGAGCAGCAATCCTCTATCAAGCAAATCATGATAGGAAACACAAGCCCGGGAATATCGTATCAATTGGGAGATATATACTCCGTATGCAGGCGCTGCTGGAATGTTGCTACATAGAAATGAAAAGTTCACAATTGGGAAGCTTAAATCATCTCTTTTGTTGTAAAGTTTTGTTTTCAACCGACTCTCATTGTCAATTTCTAGATGTAAGTCAAGATATGAGGCAGACTTAACTGTATCTGTAGTATCCTTTATCTCTAGTTCGATTGGATAGATTCGTTCAACATAGTCACCAAATTTTGTATTATTTAGTGAGAGAACATCATCTATATAGCGGAACGTAGAGTTAAAGGATATTGCTAACTTCTTATCTTTCTTCCTAAGAAGTTCTTGTATGAAGTCAGCCTCATAATAATAAAGAAACAAGTCGGCAAGAAGAGGGGCACAATTGGTTCCCATTGGAATTCCGACAGTCTGTTGAAAAACACGTCCTCCAAACGTAACAAATATGTTGTCAATCAAGAAATCAAGCATCTTGATAATGTCAGTTTTAGAGAATGTTTTGTTTGAATCAGAGTGATTCTTTACAAAGTAGGATTTATCCCTCCCCAAAAAAGTTATTAGCCTAACCACACCCACCTTAAGATAATATATCTCCCAGATGATACTTTCTTTTTCAACCTTTTCATTCAGGTGTCATTAAAATGTCTTAGGAATGATTTCAACTTCACAACTTCGAACGTTTGGTTTAGTTGCTTCCCTTTGAGCAACAACCACTTATCTAGGATATCATTATAGGTAATACGAGCCCATGAACATTGTATCAACAGGAAGATACATACTCCGTACGCAGGCACTGCTGGAATGTTGCTACACAAAATTAAAAGTTCATAATTGAGAAGCTGAAATCATCTCTTTTATCGTAATGTTTTGATTTCATCCAAACCTCATTGACAATTGTTAAGGTTAAGGACATATAAGGCAGACTTACCTGTATCTAGTATTATCTATATTAATTGTTCATAATGGTTTAGAAAACAGTGTTTGAAGCTATTGTTTTTGAAAAAGTATAAAAGATTCCTTCACAATATGGACCATACTAATTATTTGGAAATATATATAAACCCTGCTGCTGACTTCAATGGTTGCAATTAAAACTTATCAAAGAGATCAATTTTGAAATGATGATCCAACTGTGTTGGTATTAATTTAGATGGACAACAAGAAGACGACCTGACAGGACAGTTGTTTTCAATAATTAAGAGAGATCACCTTTTTAGAAAGTTTGTCTGTGTTCGCACAATATTGATGCGCAAGGATATCTTTAACTCAGACTTTTAGATTGCATGTTGACAGATAGATATATCTCATTTGATTTAGTTGCTTCTGCATTTGTCATTTTAGAGCTTTTTATAGCTTTCTAAGTTTTATGTGTTTTGCTCATGATCAAAGACCGCACGGTGACCCATTGTTGATAACGTCTACGTCAATTGGTTTATGGTCGAAATTTGTCTCATTGGAAGTCATCCCACCTTTTCTTATTATTATTTTGAAAATTTGTTCGGTTTTCAACACAAGGAACAATGAGATACAGGTAATTTGATATTTTGTAAAAAAGAATTTTGTCAAATAACTTCTAAAGAAATACAATCACACATTGTCATGTTTATATTAAAACAAATTGAAATACAGGGCTGTGTTTTGTCATTTTTAAACTAAAATCAAGTCACAAATGTTTTGATATTGTTTTATCTGCAGTATAATGATTTATCTAATATGACAGTCGGTCTTTCCCTATTAAAAACTAATTTGTTTCATACATGGGTCATTATAGTGTCCATGAAAATTCTGACGAAAACACTGTATCGGTTCCAATTACTAAATTAAAACAATCTCAATTGCTAATCTTTTAATCGTTTTCTTGTTAAGGAACAACTAATTTTCTTTTGAAATCATCAACATGAATTTACACAAGGATTATGGACAAATATGTCATTACATGTAATAAAACAATTCTAAATGTTAGTAATGACAAATAGTTAACATCACATATAATCATCAACAAGACTACTGACTAAACCATATCGATCAATATGTAATGTCATATACGCTTATAACATTTTTGGCAGTCTGCACAAAAAGCTGCTTAAGTTCGGCATTGTAAGTCATACGATTAAACGTGGATGATTTTTGTATTTCTACTTTTCCTGCTTCTTCCTCTTCGTCTCCATTTTCTTTTCGTTTTTTCTCGTTCTTTTCTTTTTCTTCTATTTTTTCTACTCGAATAACTTCATTTTTGCTCACACGATATATTTCGTTTTGATTTTTGTACAATACCAGAACCATCCGATTATTTTCACCAGCTTGAACTAGAACGATTGCTGTTGGATCTGGAACCACCATGCTCCAATCTTTATCCTTTTTAAAGCTTACAGCAAACACACTATTTTCAGCGCATGCGTAGATTGTTTCTGAGGACATGTCAATTGCCAGTTTATTGGAACCAGAATTTGAATAAGGAACATTTATGATATTCTCTATTATTTTTGATTTGACATTCCATATTTTCAAAGATGTCTGTTTGGTGTTTTCATTCTTCTGTTCGAAAACTATATAATCTTTGTCCGATGCTATATCAACTATGTTGTAACCGACTTTAATTGTATCCAATAATTTACATCCGTCGTTTTCAAGTGTATAGAGATAAATGTTTTTGTTGTTCACAAGGGTCACTGCAATAACATCTTCAGAAACACTGGTTACTCCATTTATTTTATAAAGTAGAGGACATTTAAGCTTGCACTGGCCATCCGAATATATCTTTAAAATATTGCCAAAATTATCAGCAACTACCAATTTGGATTTCGAAATAGAAATTATTCCAAAAATATCAGATTCGCCTTCTAACGTTATTTGCCCTGATAATTGTACTGAAATCTGCACAGGCTTGCACAGTTTCGAGGCACAAGCCGAGTGTGTCATATCTGAAAATAAGACAAAGAAAAATAACAAAAAAATACTAAACAGTTGAACTAACATTGGATCGTATTTCTTACCAGACCTTGACACTGTTTCTATATGTTTTACTAAATTGTTACTTTTACATTTTGTCTTATCTATTTGGACATATCTTACATAAACGATTTACAAACATGCCAGGTACTATAATTGCGAATTAAGTTTAAAGATTTACACATATTAAAATTTATTTTTCTCAAAATATACCCTAGTTCCTTATAAACTATTGAGATTTTCAAACATTCTATGCAAGCTCTGGTCAAGAATCTCCAAGCAAAGTTATTTTTTTGAATTTTCTATGGAAATATTTGGGAGACAGTTTTAGATTCATGATTATGATTTTATATATCATTAAATATATCTGTATAGAAAACAGACCAAATGTAAGTGCAAACAAACCTCCCATTTCCCCAATCGTTATCAGATGTAATATAAAATAAAACACACAAGTACATGAACATGTCATGCGCTTTATTAACATATTGAAATCGCTGCAAAAATACAAGTGAATGTTCACTTCGAATAAAAATTTAGTAAAATAGCCTGCAAAAGGATACCATAAGGCGTATAAAAATTGCAAAAAATTTACATGATTAATGACGGAAGAAAATTTGTCAAACGCATATAAAAAGTAGAACGCATGAAATCATTTTAACCACATTGAATTCTATATCTACCAAACAACTTCCTTGAGATAGATATTTATATTGACAGTGTAGTCTTTTGGTGATGGTGATATTTAAAGTTAACAATAGTACATGTCAGTCCCATCCCCTCAAACACATTATTTTACTCCAAGTCGACCAGTCTTATATCTCACTCATTAAGGGGGTAGACCTGGTGTATGGAAGACAACACTTACACATGTATTGAAAGTCATTTGTACGTTTTAACAGAGCAGTAATTTAAACAGTGGTTAAGCATTTATGTTGTTTACATTTGGCTGTGAGAATTATGCAAACAGATCCAGCAAAAACTGTACATGTTAGACACCATCTAGCATTAAATTAAAGAACTTCTTTTTATATGATCAATAAACAAGAGATGAAAAGGTAGAACATTACCATTCATACATGAAATGCCTTAAAAAACACCAATGTACTGAGGAGTTCAATAACGACTATACTGAGTATAGTGTCTTGTGGCATAATTTAGAAAAAAGTTTGGAAGGTTTGGGAAATTCGATTTACACAAATGGATTATATAATGGAGTTATATGGTTTTAGTGCTATGTCATTGATACAGAGTTTGAACTTTAGCTGCAGGTCTTTGTTTTTTTTCAAATATAAAAGGCTCTATTCTAGAAGATATGATATGAACATTAATCCTAGTACAAGCTTATGCAAATAGATAATCTACATAAGCAAAAAGATAGTACTTAGGTAGTGACAGACTGTCAAAACTTGATTACAATTATTATTGGGTAAGTACAATTTTACTTATGCACATAAAAGAATGAAAAGACAGTCTGTAGAAAGTTTTGTAGGGGGAACATTTTACTTGTTCTTGTGCCTTGAAAGCCAAATTGTTTAAAGATTTTGAAAATTTCAAACGGTCTCATTCGATAAAAGTTTGCTATTTTGAAGATATATAACCAATAAATGTTTATGCATTTTTGTTTTTCAAGAATTAAACGACAATTTTTTTCTGGCAAAGTTTGAAAAAATGTGCTATCTGAGCTGGCCAGAATTTCCACCAAATCAATAATTAAAAACCATGTTTTTTTACATTCAAGCTATTGGTATAATCATTATATTTCAGATTTACTTTAAAATATTTTTCTTCTATAAGTCATGGGTATTTTTAATGACAACATGTGCAAAAACAAACAATGATATGTACCTACTAGTGTTTTCGACCGTTTTTTAGGGTACCCCAAAACTAGTCATATTCAATATACCCTAAACATGAATTGAAACGGTGAATTTCACCAAGACTTTGGTAGACTCCTACCTTTTCAATGATGTAAATATAAGAAAAATTAAACGAGAGGGAAATTTTGGTGTTACCAAGGCCTATAGCTACCCCCTTAAAGTAGGGTGCTTAACGGTTATACAACACCTGCCAACTAAAGTCTATAGATTGACCCGGTCAAGGGGGCGTTCTACCATGATACCAACGGAGAAAGTTACAATTTTGACTGAGAGTTTGAATTTGGTGAACATCTGCAATGCAAAATACTGGCGAAAACACTTGTGATCTGTCATTAACATTTATCCAAATACAATTGTTTCTACTGAAAGCAATTGATAAGGATATTCATATATATCTTGTCTAAAACATTTTTTGTCAAATATGTTCATTTCAACATAAGTCAGTATCCTTTCTGTTCTCAACTATCTACAATACAAATGTTTTACAAATCAGTTAAGTTATCAAAATTATTAACAGTTTTTGAATATTCTGAATAAAGTTATTAGGTCTTTCCACTTTTCCGTGGAAAGACCTATTGATTTTGTTCTGATTATTATTATTTTTTTTTTCTTCCGCCTAATTTTTTTCTTGCGTAGTATTGTTGTTTCATAAGATGTCGCTTAGATATTTGGTATATGATATCGAACAGTTTATACGCTTTTGAAACTGACAACCGCTTAACAGAATACTTTACGTTGAAAGAGTTATTTCCCCAAACACTGTTTTTCTTGTGGCCACTTCTCCTTCGCAACCGTAAAAGATTACGACAAATTTATTTTACCAAATTGCTCGCTATATCTTCAGGATGTTGAGTTTGGTTTCCACCGAAGCGTTCCGGAGACTCCATATGAGAGTTATTTCCCCTTATGCATTTGACATAAGTGATATGCATTTCTAACTGGTAAACCATAAGTGATAGAGACCTAGGGTCTTTTGATTTGATGTCCTTGTTCCAAAAAAAAAAAGAAAATTTGGTCAAGGTCAAAGGTCAAGGTCATATTCTAAATTTTAATTTTAGCTTATTTTCACTTCTTTTCAAAAACCGTATAAGATATCAACAACATATTATTACTAAATTGTTAGTTGCAACATGTCATAACACATACATGTTGGTTTAAAGTGTGCGCTAACATTAAATTAGAGTTTTCTCCCCTCTTGTATTTAAAAATACGCGTTCGGTGATATAACTCATTAACCATATATAGTTAAGACCTAGGGTCTTTTGATTTGAGGTCCTTGGTTAATGACCTTGAAATTGAGCTCAAGGTCAAAGGTAAATTTGACGTTCTAGATTTTGACCTTTGCTTTTACCTCATATGTATACATGATAAAGCCATAGGACTTTTTGCATTAGGTTGCTAGCCATTTGACCTTGGAAAATCCAACCGGAAGTGACCTTGTGTAAACCGGAAGTAGCTATTTTTTGTACTTATTTAATATAAAAGTATATAGAACCATATATTTTTGGAATCAGTAACATTCAAATTATACCGGAAGTAACATTTTTCAAACCGGAAGTGACAAATTATCTCCCTTATTTAAAAAAAAATGTATAGAAACCATATATTTTTGGAATCAGCGTACAATAAGCTATCATTTGACGCTGGAAATGACATTTTTGAAGCAAATTTTAATATTTTCATATCAAAATAGATCTTTATGGGTGGAAAGACCTTCAATTGTTCTCTGAACAATTGGTTTTTAATTATGTTTGGAATTCAACAGGTCAAATATCTGCTTATATAATATATTCCTTCTTACAAAAATTTAACAGGAATATTTATATGCAACTATACACGATTTAAAAGAAATTGGGCCAAGCATACTCGACATGTGAAAATTGCCTATATTCTGTGTGTTGATCAGTACAATACATTTCTAAATCGTAAAGTGTCTTTAACTCATTCCCAAATTTCTATTAAGTTTCAAGAAAAATCGATCACTGCAACAGGTATAAACATTACGTAAAGTTCAAACAACCTAGAAATGTCTGAAAACGAACTAAAGCTTACTTCGATTGAACAAATAAAGATGTAAGTTCAATGTTTATATCGATAATACGAGAGAAATCTGCAACTCCTGTTTAGTTTCAAAGAACTTTCAATGTCAATGATTTACTTTTTACTTCTTAAGATAGTTTTTATGTACTTTCCTTTGAATGGACAAAATGATTGAAAATTCTGACTTTATACAGCCATATGTCTCCCAACCTAATGCTAAGTACACCATGACTTTATAGCATACCCGTTTTATCACCTTATTCAAATGTTTTAACATTCATGGCTCAATATTTCTAATCAATGTCATCGGATTGGTTTGATCCAAAAGTATCAAATATTTGAAACATCAAAACTCTAATTGATCTTACCTGAAATGACTCCGAGTCCCGTATATGGATGGGTTGGGGTAAAATTGTTTTCAAATTGTGATTTCGAATATTTTACGGGAAGAATATACGTTTTGTTGGAGTTTTAAACATCAACCAAAATACAGGTTTGTTTGTATTACATTTTTGATTTCTAAATTAGAGTTACATTTTACCTGTACATCTGTTTTTGACAAACAATAAAAGGATTAAAACAAATCTACTCACAGAATATATATATGATTTGTATTGTGTGAAGAATTGGAACTTAATTTAACAAACTATATAGATACTAGATTTTTAATTTTGTACACCAGACGCGTGTTGCGTCTACAAAGACTCATCAGTGACACTCGAATCAACAAAGTTAAAACTAAAGACGAAGTTGAAGAGTATTGCACACCAAAAAATCAGAAAAGTTTTGGCAAATGCAGCAGAATATACGTGTCTGTATATTTGAAGTATTTATCACTAAAAACTGGTACCAATTGTTCTGATTTTTTTATATTTTGTTACTTATATTTTATTGACCTTTACTGAGACAATATCCCTTTATAAATCAAATAATGTATTGTTCTTCTTCGGCATCAGTTTTCTTTACTTTTTGGAAAGAAAAGCAAAATTTTGTATTCAATTTCAAGAAATAAATTTGAGTTAATGTTATGTTTAAACATGTATGAGTAAATTTTTTTCGTTTTTTGGGGAAAATAAAAATGTAGGTAGTGTAGCAGATAAACTGTGGATAAAAACAACATGATTTTTTACTTCAAAAACACAAAACCCTTAAAAATACCTTATGTGGGAATGGGTTTACACATAATGTGGACAGTCATTTAAATGTTTGTTGAAAACCTGATACAATAAAATAGTAAAAATCAATATATTACACATTTGTATGGACACAGAAAACCTTATACAAATTATATAAAGGTACTAATGTTCTTTATTTGTGTGAACAAACAAAATGTATTTCTTTTTATATTATTATACTTATTGTCTCACAAATTCCTTAATACAAATTTCAAAAGACAGACACAGACTTGACTTAATGCCAATAGTTCATAGATTAGAAAATGTAGAACAGACAAGTGAAAGAAATCTAACAGATTCTATGAATGTATCCCTGTCTTTATCTGGTATCATGTATATCGAAACAGTTAACAAAACTTCCTTAATATGAACTTATTTCTTTACTCTGTGAAATTATGTTATCAATTGTTATCCATTATATACAGTTACTGAAACAATCGTCTTTAATAAATAATAATATCTTCGGATTTAATATCAGCATACCTGTATTGGCCAGTAACTCTTCCTCGGTATCTTGTTTCTTCACTATATTCGGAAAGAAAAGCATATTTATGTTTTCAATTTCAAGAAATAAATTTCAGTTCATGTTTCATTAATTCATGTGCAAGAGAAAATTGTTTAATTTCTGAAAAAAAGAGATATTCATAATCACGATAATGACACCTTTGTTTTTGCTAACTTAACATATAGTGTATTAAATATATTGAAGAAATGAGTACAACTTTATCCAATGTAAGATTCAATTGGGTATCTTTGTATTTGCCTCTTTCAAGTATTGCATATAAGAATCAAATAAGATATGAAAACATACATTTTCTGTGTATGCGAGTGTTTGTTAAACGAAGACGAATATATCGATTGTTTATCTAATAAAAGGGTTACATTTATTCGATCGAACGATGGATCGATCGATCAAGAGAGAGAGAGAGAGAGAGAGAGAGAGAGAGAGAGTATTTTATTAAGTACCGTTTTGTCATGTGGTTTTTTTTCATCGTGTATAGGTACTCTTTGTCCAACGGAATAATATATTTGTGGAAAATTCAACACATAACTTGAAGTGTTCGTCTTTGATAGTGTTTTGTTGTTATCTATCATTTTAAATTACCTCGAGGTCGAATACGCTGCTTTATTTGTTTTCTTTTCAACACTAAAATCGTGGTTATGAAGCATATGACTATAGCTGTGACGCAGATGAATATTATTGGAACTACAAAGCCATCTTCTTTCATACCTGCATAATCATAAGGAGTTTCTTACCTTTTTTTTAATCTCATTTATATAATACAAATATGCAATATTCTAGTTTTCTACGTGTAATTGTGGTGTCAACTGTGTCAAATAACTAACTGAATTAAATGTGTGTTATTCAGAGATAAATATAAAAAAGAAGATGTGGTATGATTGCCAATGAGACAACTCTCTACACGAGATCAAAATGACACAGAAATTAACAACTATAGGTCACCGTACAGCCTTCAACAATGAACAACGCCCATACCGCATAGTCAGCTATAAAAGGCCCCGAAATGACAATGTAAAACAATTACAACAAGAAAACTAAAGACCTAATTTATGTCCAAAAAAATGAACGAAAAACAAATATGTAACACATAAACAAACGACAACCACTGAATTACAGGCTCCTGACTTCGGACAGGCACATGCATAGAGAATGTGGTGGAGTTAAACACTAGTCAGTAAGATATAAGTCAGTTATTTTCAGCTTAAATCCATTCCTTAAAAAAATACTAATTTAAAAATATCAAATGATCTATATGGTGACAGAATACGCTTTGTTGTATTACCAACGTTGCAAACAAATTCTAATATGTTAACATCCATTTGTCACCGTATGGCTTTAACAATGAGCAATGTCCGTAACATATCATTAAAAATGTCTGACAGGAAAAACGAAAATAACTCAATCGGGACAAACCAATGGCCTGATGAATATACAAAACAATCAACGAAAAACAATATGATAACAGATAAAATAAACGTGTAAATTGCAGGCTTCTAGCTATGATCAAGCACATATACAATGAACTTAAATTAAACGTGTTTGCGAGAACACAACCTGTTCTAATCTATGATAGTGTTGTAACAGTAAAACATCAAAACTTACTGAAAACTGCCTATAAAAACTTCAACAGTACGACTAAAAGCAAAACCAATCAACTAACAAAAAGACTAAACAAACAAAATACCTTTTGCTGATAAAAAAAAACACTCGTAGTAACTGAATGCTAGTTCAAAGTCAATAACAACTAAAAAGTATATCGTTTATCTTCTCAAATTAAATGTTTTTTTGTAATACAAATCGTGTACCTGTATCACTAGAAACATAAACGTTCCTTAGTGTGTTACATGATAAATCAACGTAGACGAATCTAGCTTCATGATAGTGTTTATGTTGTCATATATATTTGTTCTTACCTTCTACTTGCTTTGTATTATGCTGAACTTCTTGTGTATTCCTTTGAAGAGGCCCTAAATCTAAAGCAAATGCATCATTATTTAAAGTCTTAATCTATTATCAAATCCTATAAAAGAAATGAAATCGTTACATCAACATGGTCAATGTCATAGATACATTTATTATTTTCTGAACTATTTTGCAACACATTCTAATTTAAAGAATAAGTATCGTAAGCGATTGAAATAGTGATAGGAATAGTAAGTGTATATTATATACCATGAATATGCATGTGTGTTTATATATATATGAGTGCTTTCTTTTCAGTTTGGTATTGCTCCGTTGTTTTTTATACTCATCAACGATGTCCATCTATGTGTGGAAGGGTACATTTTCAGTAGTTTGTATATATATGTTTTTCACTTTCAGGGTTGTTCTTTAAAATAACTGTTTTGATAATAAAATATTTATTTGAACATATTTAATGGATCGATTTTACTTACTTACAGAATAGAATCTGATTAAAATAATAAAATAATGAAGCATGCTGTTTTGTTTATCTGTATATGCTAATTAAAGAGATGACCTGAGTTCTGGTATGTGAACCCTTTAAATGTCTATTCATCGTATTGATGGTCAGTATTGGTCACTTTCTCTATTCTCATTGGTCATTTAAATCACATGTGTATGTGTGGTCTCCAATCTCTTTGTAATTAGAAAGTTATCCTTTGATTGTATTCAGCATGAAGACATGAAGACAGATAAGATAGTTTGATATATTCACAATTATTCATAGTCTTACCATTTGAGGATTAATTATCAGGTATTGTTTAACTTTGACACTATATTCTTCATTGAGGTAGTTATGATTTCTAACGTATATTAAATTATCATTTATGTATTCGATAATTCTATGTATTGATGGGCAGTGTTGATTCCTTCAAATGATGGGATAATAGCATGATAACCTTCGCATCTAAGTGTGAGGCAATCGTTGAGTTTGTTTATATGTGTTTTGCTATCAATGCTTATAATTTGTTTGCTTATTTTTAATTGCTTTACTTGGCTTAACGTTAGCTATTTAGTTTGTTTTGTGTAAAATCTAGTTTTGCATGTAATTATATTTTCAAGACATTATTACATAGTTGATTAGTTTGTAAAATCAATAAGCGAGTTAATTCAAGTAGATTACAATATAATATTGTGTTCATATAATGAAATAGAGAAATGGTTTGGAACTTTTATTAATTATTTTAATTCGAAATTGATTGAGTTCTCATTATACTCATGCTATCATTCTTGAACCGTTGTTTATGATTTCATATCCCATTACAAGGTCTTTTTGTTACCAACTTTTTTTGTATCGTTTTAAAACGAATCCTATACAAAATCCCAGGAAACCGCTAAACTGCATATGTAAATACATTTTTTCTTTTCTTTTGTTGGTTATTTATAGTGTAGAACAATTATCATTTACATGTCTCGAATCAATAAATCTTATCAACATTTTGATGGGATTGGAAGGTCAAATATTACTTCGTTTAAAGATATGTTAATTTTGTATCTCAACGTTATTTAGAAATACCTTTGCAGTTGTATACCCTGTATAAGTTAACGTTCCTGCTTTTTCTTTTATTTTCATCAGTATAGCTCATGTCAGCTCCAAATGTACAGTTGTGACAGGGAACAGTCATAATATACATCCATGTGAAAGTTATCTCATTGCGCGAAGAAGAACAAGTACAGTTTTTACATTCTCCTTGGTTATCATAACATTTTCCTTCGTAGACGCGCATGACATTTGTAGTTCTGTCGTTAAGAAGAAACACTATACTATCTCCAACTGGTCGTTGGTAAGTTTTACAAGTAAATTTGATTGCTGATGTATTGGTGCTCTTTATAACTTTTCCCTCGAATATTTCAAAAGCTGCATCATATGTGCTAACTGCAATATGAAAACAAAACGTGAAAAAAAGATTATCATTTCTTTACACAAGTTACAATTAAACCTAAAAACACAATAAAACCCTATTGTCAGTATCAACTTCATGTTCGCAGCTACATTGAAAAAAAACTATGGCTTAATTTTCATTTTAGCACATTCTTAATACTTAAGGATGTACTTAGGTGAATTTAAAAAATCAAGAATTTCAAATTGATACTATAAGTCAGACGACCATTAGTAAAGGAACATAATAACTTTACATGTTGATAGGTTATGGAACTCCTTTTCCAGTTATTTGATTTTTAGCAAACGACGGGAAAAGACTATCTTGGACTTTTACCTTATATATGCCTTGGTATTATTTGAGTCTCAAATAGAAAGAACAGAAATCAAGAAATTGCTTAATTTTTTGTAAAGGACCTTTTTAAGCTATTGGAGTCTTATACGAAAAGAAAAATGGATGTTATGGGGCAAAATATTTTACCGTGTATTTAAGGAACAAAACAATTGAGTCCGAACATCTACTTAAATTTCTAAACCTCACCTAAATACATCCTTAAAGTTAAAAAACTGCAACTTTGATGTTTCATGACAAAAAGTACTAAATTTTTAAGTTGATTAGTAAGGGTTAATGTTTTTTTCAGAAATGCCTTGCATTCCGTTTTCGCTTATGTAAATCTTTCACGTCCAAAAAGTCACTAATTTAAAGTGAGTATACATGGTGATAGTCAACAAGTCTAAATTGAAAACAACGTTCAAACCTATGATTGCGTTGGATAAAAACCGCATTTTTATACGTGTGCATGCAAAACAAATTTCTAAGTACAGGGGTCTAAATAAAGCACAAACAACATTTTCCAAAAGACCAAAAAAGTGAAAAAGTATATTTTAACAAAACGCATTTGACTAGCAAGTCGAACAACTGATGTTCTTAAACCCTGCTGACTGCCATTGGCGATTGCCAATAAACGGATCACAAGATGTAACAAAATGGATCTTATAATTATTTTATTACCAAACAGAAAACAATAAACTTGCGGAATAGATGGTATACTGCAAACATGAGGTGCAAAAGTTTGTACACCATATCCGGATTTCGACAATTAATGTATCTTCAGTGATGTTGGGAATCGAAACGGTATTTGGAAGGCCATATAATTTACCTCAATTTAGGATAGACTCTTCAATTTTGAAAGAGTCGAAATAGGCTGAACGGATCATATAAACCCGAAGACAAATATAATACAAGCCCAAACGAAACAATATAAACAAGTCTAAATTGAAAACAACGTTCAAACCTATGATTGCGTTGGATAAAAACAGCATTTTTATACGTGTGCATGCACAACAAATTTCTAAGTAGAGGGGTATAAATACAGCACAAACAACATTTTCCAAAAGACCAAAAAAGTGAAAAAGTATATTTTAACAAAACGCATTTGACTAGCAAGTCGAACAACTGATGTTCTTAAACCCTGCTGACTGCCATTGGCGATTACCAAATAAACGGATCACAAGATGTAATAAAATGGATCTTATAAATAATTTATTACCAAACAGAAAACAATAAACTTCCGGAAAAGATGGTATACCGCAAACATGAGGTGCAAAAGTTTGTACACCATATCCGGATTTCGACAATTAATGTCTCTTCAGTGATTTTCGAAACGGTATTTGGAAGACCATATAATTTACCTCAATTTAGGATAGACTCTTGAATTTTGAAAGAGTCGAAATAGGATGAACGGATCATATAAACCCGAAGGCAAATATAATACAAGCCCAAACGAAAAAATATAAACAAGTCTTAATTGAAAACAACGTTCAAACCTATGATTGCGTTGGATAAAAACCGCATTTTCGTACGTGTGCATGCAAAACAAATTTCTACGTATAGGGGTCTAAATACAGAATAAACAACTTTTTCCAAAAGACCAAAAAAGTATATTATTACATGGCGATAGTTATATAGTTCTGAATTCTGCTTATACATGTTATAATTAATGTGTATAGCCAGACGCTCATCAATTCAACATTCTATAAACAGTAAATTACAGATAATGAACTTATCAACGGTTGGCCATGCTATACAGGAGAAAATTTTATGTACAAAAGGCCAAATGTTATAACATAGAATAAGAATTACAAACACAGAACGGTATACAAAATGCCTTCCTAAATGTTAAAACAAAATCAAAAGGTATTACTGATTTATCATGTAACATTCATTATTCGCTTAAAAGGCATTCTTCTGTCGTATATCAATGTTTATATTGTTTGTGTTTAACATACATAATTTAGTTCATATTTATTTCAAGTCCTTGAAACTCTTTCATTTCAAAATCATTTGCAGATCTTGTAATCAATAAGTGTACGAGTCATTTGTTTTCAATCTATTTGTGGTAATATATCTACCCATGAATGTCCATGTTTATTTGGCCTTTTGATTCGGTTTCGCTTTCAAAATCCTTTTTTCATTTAAAGAAGTCATATAGCATGTTTTTCAAAAACAAATGGTTAATCTTAAACTTATATAAGAAGATATACGAATTAAAACTATCATGATGTATTATTTAAAACCAAATGTACTAAACAGCGCTACACATAATATAGCAATACATTATCCATATTTAGGCTTAACCCTGTAAATTGTAATTTTGGTTTGAAAGACTAGACTGACCATGGAACCCTTCTGTTATTGCTTTGGTCGAGTTGTTGTCTCTATGACATATTCCCTCATTTTCATTCTCATTTTTATATAAACAAAGGGACATATTCATATGAATTCATTAAAATTTAACTTACCAAATGCTAAGTACCAAAAACATATCCGTGTGTGTTTTAGCAGCATAACGGCAGTCGCTTCTTTCCTAAACAATGATTAAAATATAGGTTATAAAACAATTTAATAGTTCCATACAAGAGTAATTGTATTGGAATAAAATTAACTAATTGACACGTTCATAAAGTTTGAACTTTTCTATACAATTTCTCATTTAACACGTTTTGTAAAGTTATAATCAAATATAGTTGATTAAGTTAGCTGTAAATTAATTTTTTTACGCTTTTGTTCGACTCGTTTAAGGTATATGTGTTTATGGTTTACTGATTTTGTTTTGAAAATGTAAAGCTTGTTTGAAGAATTATTCATTTAAAGATATTTTACTATATTCATCGATCAAACAACTTACTGTTACCAAAAAGAATGATTGAAACGTGTTTACTTTTCTCGTCTATTTTTGTTTTTGTCATAAAAAAAAAATCAATCAAAAATGGTTTTCATAATCATGCTCCTTGACTTTGTTATGATTGCAGCACCATATAATATCTAATGAAGACGACACGTGCTTCCGATCTACTTAATTACAATACTGGTTTCTTATGATTTTGAGGTTGAACTATTCGTTTTTTCAAATAAGGAATTACCTAATTATTTACCAAATAAGTGCCGTATAAACGTGTTTGAAGCTAACTGACCCGCTTTACTTAAACTAGAATACGCTTGTATTAACTCTACGCTCAAACAAACGGTACGGCCACATCATGTCGTGCAAAATATTGCCAGGAAAATTTAACGAGATTTTACGGTACTATCATGACTGTGTAACATAGCAACGTATTCCATATCTGCCGTAATGCATGTACCCGACCATGTAAACAAATAGTAAAAATGGTTTGGGTTTTATAAAGCATAACAATAATGCAAAGAATAAATTCCTATTCTAATGGATTACAAATAGATTTGATACGTTAAATATCAAATTAAAACCTATGAATTTTAAATGAATTAACAATCCGATAAACTTCATGAATGATTTTGCTCGTCAACGTCATTGATCAATGTGGCGTCATACAAAATAAAAATGGACAGGGGGTACTATATTTCAGCTGTGGATTTAACGGGAAATTTAGCAAATTACATTTTAGTGTTGTGTTTCTGTTGTGTCGTAGTTCTCCTCTTATATTTGATGTGTTTCCCTCAGTTTTAGTTTGTAACCCGGATTTGTTTTTTTCTCAATCGATTTATGAATTTCGAACAGCGGTATACTACTGTTGCCTTTAGTTACGAAATGTTGCTGGTCTTAATCAGTTAGTTTTCGATAACATTTCTTTGATTGTAATATAATATTGAATTTCGCATTGTTAACTAATGGAACTCCGGGATGATACAGGTAAGTCGATAGGCTGATTGAAAAGAGTCTCTTGACAAATCGTATTCTGTATGTATCGGATCTCATCGACTTTCTAAAAACTAAGGTAGAAGTCAGCTGAAATGCAACTTTATTAATAACGAAATCCTTTAAAACTTTAAAAATCGTTAGTACTGTAATGTGAATACAATTATCATCACAAAACGTTTAAGACCATCAAATTTGGGAATGAAGTTCAGTTATATTTTAATTGTAGATATTTGAATTATTCCTGGATATATTCGTTATGATTCCTTTATTTCAGCGTTTTATTTTGTTATTTTGTCTACGTACAGCTAAGACTATACCTTGTTTAAATTTTGCATATCAGAATGCGTCTTACATCCAAAAATTTATATAGAATATACATGTAACAAAAACACAGACGGGGCATGGCCAGGTGGTTGTACATACAAACAACAAACAGACACAGATCTAAGAGTACTCGCAGTAACTCACAGCTAGTTCAAAACCAATAACAACTAATAAAATTCATGGTCATATTATTTGACAAACACAAATATTTTACCACAGACTATTATATACATATACATTTACAACGTTCATGAGACACTTTACCCGTACGCTACTCAATTATGTCACTAGAATGAAATCATGATTTCCTTTTTACCTTGACTAGGTTTTTATTAATACTAGTGTATTACTTAAGCAACACGGCGTATATTGAGTAACATATAGGGCCATTATGGTTGACATATTTTGTAGACCTCCATTACTCAAATAATGTTAAAGGTAGTACAGTGTACGGGGCAACAGACTATCTTTGAAACTAAACCACATGTGTTATCCTTACCGAATAAAGTAATCGACAGCAGTTACGTTATATATATATATATCTATAAAAGTATCTTTTTGAGTAATTCGTTGTATCAACTTAGTTTATGAAGGGGACTGATTAATTATTTTAGTTTTTTTTTCATGACATTTTTTCGCGAAAGATATTTCTTCGACAACTTTAAACGAACTGTACGGAATACTTGTTTTCAATGGCAATACATTTTGTTTCCCTGATTTGATCTGAGCGTCACTGATGAGTCTTATGTAGACGAAACGCGCATCTGGCGTATCAAATAATAAGCCTGGTACCTTTGATAACTATTTACACCACTGGATCAATGCCGCTGCTGTTGGATGTTTCGTCCCCGAGGGTATCACCAGCCCAGTAGTCAGAACTTCGATGTTGACATGAATATCAATTATATGATCATTATTTATAAATTTCCTGTTTACAAAATGATGCATTTTTCGAAATACTAAGGATTTTCTCATCTCAGTCATGGACTACCTTAGCCGTATTTGCCATAACTTTTTGGAATTTTGAGTCCTCAATGCTCTTCAACTTTGTACTTGTTTGGCTTTTTAACTATTTTGATCTGAGCGTCACTGATGAGTCTTATGTAGACGAAACGCGCGTCTGCCGTATTAAATTATACGCCTGGTACCTTTGATATCTATTTACACCACTTGATCGATGCCACTGCTGATGGATGTTTCGTCCCCGAGGGTATCACCAACCCAGTAGTCAGCACTTCGATGTTGACATGAATATCAATTATATGATCATTGTTTATAAATTTCCTGTTTACAAAATGATGCATTTTTCGAAATACTAAGGATTTTCTTATCCCAGTCATGGACTACCTTAGCCGTATTTGGCATAACTTGTTGGAATTTTGAGTCCTCAATGCTCTTCAACTTTGTACTTGTTTGGCTTTATAACTATTTTGATCTGAGCGTCACTGATGAGTCTTATGTAGACGAAACGCGCGTCTGCCGTATTAAATTATAAGCCTGGTACATTTTGTACCTTTGATAACTATTTACACCACTGGATCGATGCCACTGCTGTTGGATGTTTCGTCCCCGAGGGTATCACCAGCCCAGTAGTCAGCACTTCGATGTTGACATGAACATCAATTATATGATCATTATTTATAAATTTCCTGTTTACAAAATGATGCATTTTTCGAAATACTAAGGATTTTCTTATCTCAGTCATGGACTACCTTAGCCGTATTTGGCATAACTTTTTTGAATTTTAGGTCCTCAATGCTCTTCAACTTTGGACTTGTTTGACTTTATAACTTTTTTGATCTGAAGTGTCATTGATGAGTCTTATGTAGACGAAACGCGCGTCTCGCGTATTAAATTATAAGACTTGAACATTTGATAACTATTGGAATCAGGGTTAAATATTGTAAATCCCCCACCACGCCCCTCCGCCTGCCCCTTATTAAGTACGTGTCTTTTATGCTATAGAAAATAAGAACATTTGGTCATTTGATAGAGTAAAATATATGTAAAGATAAAGAGGTTAAGAACTTGCACTAAAAGATCACAAAATCGTGATACATGTACATTAAACAGGCAAAACAAATATCCATAGTTCAAAATATGATTTCCAATACAATGTGAGTCAATAAGATATTCAAAATCTTACATATGAATTTGTTATATATGGCTTGTTTGAAAAGCGTGAATCGTTCTGAATCATTACATTCAACTCAAATAATGTCCCTTAATTGAAGCGATTAATTATAATAAGTTCAAATTATCTGTGTTGAAATTCCATTGTGGTTCACGGACGAGTTTTTGGTATTGTATAGTAATAAATGGGGGCAAAGGAAAGTGTTCAGAATAGTTTTAGACAAATTTTAATATAAAGCGATAAGACACATTGAGAAAGTGATTGGACCGGTCAAAAGATTTAAAAAGAAGACAAAAAACCATTTAGTCATGATCAGACGTTTTAGGTTAAAAGATTAAGAATAATTAGATTGATTTAAGATATTCAAGGCATTGTTTTGACAAAATGAAAGTAATGACTACTTTTAAGATTTACAGTACTGCATCTAATACAACGTTTTTCTAAACATAGTATTGATCATAATATCTATAATTCATTTAAATGTTCGATAATAAAGACAACAAAGCATTAATGTTTACAAGACAGAACATATATTAAATTCAATAAAACTAAAACTTCAGATACCTTGTACGAATAAATTTCACAACCTGTTTGTCATAAAATCGTTGATTACAGGGATTCAATACGCTCAAAATTTGTTCTCACATTATTAACGCCAATGAAATAAACACAAAGGTTGTACCAAATATCAAAAGCAGACACTCACTGACAAATACTCAATGACATTCTATAGAATAAACAATACATTAAAATTATACATACTTATATTAGAAAATAATCTAATCCAAAATGTAAATCGATATACACTGTATCGGAAAACAAGGATAAAACCATTTGGATATAATCTAACCTGTTTAAAATACCAGCACTGCGCATGATCAGTCATAACGATTAGTTGTGTATAATGAGTAAATATATGTATCATACTGTTTCTTAAACGTGGGAACATACTTGAAAAATGTAAGTTATTTAAATGTTCAGGCATTTAAAATAAGTTAAAAAAAAAAGTAGACTTAATAATGTTGGCAGAAAGCATCAAAGCATCGATTATAACTTTTAAAAAATATAATGCATATTAAAAATAAAAATAGAAGTTGCGTTACTATTTTTAGTTCGCATTGTTATGATTGATACAATATTTTATTAATCGTGTAATGATTTAGTATGGGTGATACGTTTTATGCTTACATGAAATAATCAATAATAAGCTAAATGACAATACCCCCAGTATAAGTGTAAAACGATTCCAACAGATAATATAGTCATCATGCAATGCATCACGGTGTTTACACTTACAGGATTAACTGCATTAGCTAATAGAGTTTTAAAGGTATACTTATATAATATATTAACCGTTGTATGTTGACGCGAAGGCATTAGTAATATCCAAATAAATTTGCAGATTGTGCAGTATTAGTCCTCAAAGTTGATTTATGTAACGATTATTTTCATATGTAAATGTTTTTTTTAATTCTTTTTTAAATTTTCGAAAGAAGAATAGTTGAACTACAGCTGTTGATGATCAATGAAAGATAGCTCTAGATATTAATCTCATATTTAAACACTACGGGCAGATACTGAAATTATACTTACCACATATAGTTTTCACTAAAATTCCACTGGTTTCGAAACTTACAAAACTGTACGAGTTTAAGTACATTTAATACGTTGACGCAAGTCTGACTGTGCTACTGGGATTATATCTCAAATAAATAACTTCACTGATTACTTTTGATAGTCCTAGAAAAAAGTAAATTTTCTTTAATGAAATTCAATTCATCAATCTGTCGATAAATGTAAATCTCGAAATTTTTTTGTTTTTTCTGAAAATTTTTTTATTTAATTTTCAAAAGGTTTTTAATTTTTTTTTTAGCTTTTTTGTGTTGCTCTAGCGTAATATATCGAGATCGACTTTATAATCAAAGTATGTATGTCTATGTCACAATACAGTTCAATCTGAATATTTCAGAAACCATCCTGCCAGAAAATGAAAATCAGTACAGTTCTAGATTAACTCTCCCTTAACAGTCTCAACACAGATTGCACTTTGTAAATACAGCTGTTTCACAACAACGCCTCTTTTGGTATGTTATAGTCATAAAATTTGTTTTGTTTACGTACTGGTTCCCAATTATGGTCTGTATGTTTTATCTCACAGAGAGATAATTTGGGTATGTTATCTGATAACATGCACATAGCGGTAAAATTGTATTATGAAGAAGACATAAAGTAAAGGGATATGTAGTATAAATGTCGAACATATTCCACACAACCCTATGCTTCGACCCATGAAAAAAAGAATAGTGCATTTAAATTTCCCATTTAAGAATATAATTGTTTCACGAAACTTCAAGATAAAAGTGGCAAAGTTTTAGCCATAATAGGATTTCCTATAGGGATTTGATTTGTCTATATTTACAGAAGTGTAACTTATCGGATACGTTTTATCTGTTCGTTTATTTAGTTTTCTGATTTTGAGAAACTTTCGCGTTTGTTGCTCTAACTTAATCTTAACCTTCGAATTATCATGATTATTTTGTTCCTTTTTGTCTTTTCATGGGAATGAAACCTTTCATTACACGAAAACACTTTTTAGCTGATGTTAATAAGTAAATCAATTCGGGGATGCGACTGTCATACAAGCGAGAGGTTTAGCGCTTTAAAACCAGGTTCAATCCACCATTTCTTCATTCAAAAATGCCTGTACCAAGTCAGGAATATGACAGTTGTTGTCTATTCGTTTGATGTGTTTTATCATTTGGTTTTGCCATTTGATTAGGGACTTTCCGTTTTGAATTTTTGTGATTTTACTTTTTATACATAGTGCAAGACGATTTAGAGCTTGGCATATCAATATACACTTTTGTCTTTTGTTTAAGACGGCATTTTGCTTTTTTGTCTTTAGTTTGTTTCTATCCTAATTGACTAATCTGTGTATAGACTTAGTTTTTCAATTGAAATTGTTTCAAATTTTTCATATCGGGCCCTTTTATAGTTGACAATACGTTTCTCATTGTTTGAGGCCTTACGGTTGCCTATTTATTGCTAACATCAACTTCATTGGAGCTTTGGTGGAAAGTTGTCTAATTTGCAATTATTCCACATGTCTTAATTTTTATTTACGGTTGCTCTGTTTTACGAAAGTATACCTAATATATTCTATAAAAATAATGTTCAATTCCCTACATATAAGTTAGCATATTTCACTATCTATATATTTGTTTTCTTTTTCAAGTTACACTGATGATATAGCAAATTAATAATATGAAAAAGCCAATTTGATAGGTACATGTACGCATACTATCAATCGTTTGTATAATTGGTAGTTTTATTTTCATTATTTACAGTAATTGTATTGTTACTACTTAATCTTCATACTATTAAAGTGGATATTATTAATGTGTTTTAATAAATAAAGATTACGTGTTTTAACTTGTATTTCACATGTTATCACTTGTCCCATGTTAAGGAATGGTTTAGGTGAAAGCAAATACATCTAGCCCTGCCACTCTTGAATACTTGTCCAATGTTTTGAGCCTGTCATTCAGAGGTTGTCTTTGGTTGCTGTCAGTTGCATGTATTTTAACTGTTTATCAATGTGTCAATCATTTTGCTGTTGCTTTTTTTTTTTAATTGTGACTCATTTTGTCAAGTTTGAGTATTTTTTTGTAGCTGCTTATCTCATATCAGTTAGATTCATTGTTGAAGACTGTACAGTGACTGATGTTTGCCTAAATTCAAATCTTAGACTGTGATAGATGTCCCATTGGCAATTATACCACGCCTCCTTTTTTTTTCGTTTTTTTTCTTTCTTTTTTAGATCTTCCTTACTCTGGGATGCTGTAAAATATATATTTATTGAATCAGATGAAAAAACGAAACTTAATTAATAACTTTCTTACGTAATTTCAAGGTATTTAAAAAGAAAAGCAAAATACTGAAATGTAATGAAAATTGAAAAAAGGAAATTCCATAAAAACTGACAAGAACGTCAAACTTTATCCTCCGGAGTGAAACACAACTATCTTGTTATCTACCTAAACAGTCAGTCTTTGATTTATATATTTTTTTTTCTTTTCAAACAGTTGTTTTAGCTTTCACATGCTTCTTTTTAATCATTACTTCTTTCTTATTTCACAGTTCAAATTAAACGAAAAGTATCTGTACAATATTCCAATCAATTATTCAAATATTTCGACTTTCATTTATTGTCGATCTGTGAGGTTTATCGATTGTGTTTTTAGTTTTACTCAGTTTTGTCTTTGATCTATACGAGTGACTTGAATGAAAATTAAGAGATTTTTGTTTGGTACTTTTATCAATTTTATGATAAATAACTTTAAAAACTACCGATTTGATGAATTAAAAGTAACAGATTTGAAATCGTGAACAACAATTGCAATATTCTATATACATAAAAAAAAAACAAAAAAACGCGTGTACCTGCATTCATAGAAATAGAGTTTAACTTGTACAACATGTAATATGCACCGAACATCTATGTTTTCAGATGAGTCTAGCCAACAGGGGAAAAGCTACAATGATATATGCTGCAATTGTATGTGTACTACTAGTGAAAGGTAAATTATTTGTTTAAACATCTTTTTCGATAAATGTCTGATTGATTCCAAAAGCAATAAAATGATTCGCAAATCTTACCAAAGTGTTCCTTGTATTAACATGCTTAACATTTAACTGTGCATAGTTTGAAATACTGACGAACATCTAGGTTTCCTGTAAACAATCTTTAATATCTCTGAATTCATAAAATTATTTGTTTAATCAGTTTTCATCTAAAATACAAACTGCTATTTTGTGGATCTCCACCTCTTTTAACATTTGAAACTGACATATTTGTTGAGATTGTCGCGGGAATATAACGTCCATACTATTGTACTTGTCAATTGTCGACATCGTATGGTCAGTGACGTCGCCTTTGGTGGAAATACGGTACTTGTATATGGAAAGTAATGACTGAACAGTTGTTGTTATACACATTTCCTTCACTATCATCTATAACAGTATGCGTGAGTTAATAAGCCGACATATCACATGGATTTCAAGAACGTCTCAAGTTTTGAAACATCGAGATCATTTTTGTTTTGTACTATACATTAAGTAGTCAGCACTTCTCTGTTGACTTGAATTGTCATTGATATGGTCATAATAATAAATTGACAGTTTACAATACTTTGAAATACTAAGGCTTTTCTACTTCAAGAATAGATTACCTTAGCTGTATTTGGTCTTTTGTAGACGAAACGCGGGTCTGTCGTAAATACTAAATTTCAATCCCGGTATCTATGATGAGTTTATTTATGGCAATGAAAGATACTATCCTTACCCTTTTCCACCCAAATTTGACAAATGAAGGATACAGATAACATTTTTAGACCACGTTTTGTTTAAATAACGAGCATCCAAATGAAATACATGCATTATTATAACTAATATACATTTCTGCAGTGCAAATATGTTTTAGTGTCTTAAAAATCTAGAAGTTGTATGTCAAATCCATTCTTATAAAAAAAAAAAGGAAAACATTACCCATACCCTATGCAAACTTTGACTTAGAATGGCTTAGAATAAAATAAATATATATATGATTAACTGTGCTAAAATTTCTTTCAGTTATATCAAATACTTATATTTAAACATCCGATATTGTTCAATACTACTTCAATAACGATAGATTTTTTGTTAAAAACCGGACCATTTAAGCTTTTCTAAATCATCCCAAATTCTGAATTGTTTTAATGCATTAGTTAATATAGAGTTTGATGTTCTAAAGAATCAGTTATGAATACAGCTCAATCAGACACAATTTTTGGAGTATTCTGTAGTGTAATTCACGGAAATACCACTTCGTCAAAAGTAAGTTGATTTAAGAGATGCTGTTTTGTATTTGAAGCTATGCAGACGTCCATCGGTACTTTTACAGTCACAAATTTAGTTAACCTGGCGATGCGTAGCGGAGACAGGTAAACGGGTATTTGCGACAGTAAAAATACCGATGGACGTCCAAAACAAGTACATAATTCAATTTAAATCATTTGTCAGTGTCAAATGTTCATTAAAGAAAATTCCACGAAAAGATGTTATCTTCTATGGCCCCAAACTAGGTGACGTCATATATATGCTTCCGGCGTCAAACGTAAACACCGGGCGTTGTCTGGCTTATTGGCCGCTTCAGAATGTAATTAAAATTGATAAAAAGAAGATTTATGGGTGCACATGTGAGTTTTTTGGCTAATTATTGTAGACATTACATGTCAATATATTCCGCAATTCAAAATGTCGGTTCTTTAGTTACAGACAAGGAGATAGATAACTTTACGCTTACCTTCTTTCAATCAGAGCCATAAAAATAATTGCATTAGAACTATACATACATGTTTATGTTTGGGAGTGGAGTATTATAGTCCATTGATCTGCGATTTTATCAGCAGAAGTTCTGTATACAATTAAAAAAAATACATAACTAGTATCTCATTGAGACAATCGTATTCTATTGTAACGTAAGTAATCACGTCCCTTGTCGTTGAAAACAATACCAAATTGGGAGATATTACCCCTCCGGAGGGATACATGTTTCTACACCGTCTGTGCCGGAGGAACATATCTGTCCATGGTTTAATTGTTTCAAGCTTCTCATCATTGCTGTATCACTTTCAATTAAAAGACCGAAGATTAAACAGTGTATTATTTTTCTTCAATGGGATCAAAATGTAACGGTCATTACAGCGTAACGTCACATATCGAATGATGTCATTGTTGGTCATGTAACGTCAGATTTAAAGCTGTCGTATTTTCTGGCACAAGGAATGCAACCTTGTTAAACTACTGGCAGCAAGAATGTTAAGGTAAAATAAAAACCTAAACGTGCATTTTTGCAAAAAGTAAAATAACAAAAATACCGACCTCTTAGTATGTAACTACAAAAAATGCTCTCATAACCTCTTCAAATATAAGAATTCGATATAAATACAAGTAGTCCAATCAATCTATTATTTAGTTGGGTAAATTTAAGACTTCGTTGGTCTCTTTTTATGTTTTTACTTTATCATTAGAGTATAAAATACGTAAAATATAGTGTAGCAATTATAGACGCTAATAGCAAGTAGTGACCAAAAACATCTCGATATATATCAGATGAATATTTAAGAAAAACAATCTAAAATTTTCCGTTTTTTTATTATTATAACAAAATATAAAATAAATGTCTTTAAATATATACACCGAATATAAAAATAATTCTTTTCGAACAAATACTTGTTTCATCGGGTGAATTGAGTCGTGAATGATTAGGAATTAACTGAAACTAAGGATACAACTACCTAGGGTAAAATTTACCTTAGATACAGTTGGATATTTGGTCATATAGCTATTCACTGTTCCGGTTCTTAAACATCATTCGTTTTTCGTATATTCAGCTTTGAGCGTTCCTGATGAAGGAATATCTTGTAAAGCTCTTCTAACGTATGCAATTTATAGCATATTGTTTTCATTTTATTTTCTTTTTCGTATTTTGCCTATGTTGGAGTAATATTTACCATCTTATTACGAATATATATTATCAGATACTAGGACGGTTGGGTTTATTTCTCCTTATGTCAAAAGACAATAATTGGATATAACATACATATATTCATTTTAAAGGATATATATGTAAGACTCTCAAACGTGTCCCCCCCCCCCCCCCCCCAAACGTTTCCGATTCCCCCAAACGTGTGTATTTCCCCCTAACGTTAAAACAACCAAACGTGTCCGATTTCATAGCCCCCCACCCCCTCAAATGTGCCCCATAATTGGTATTTGCAAAAACGTTTCCACTTTAAAACGCCTGAACTCCATAAATTTAAGCGCTATTATGTTCTCAGTTACGTCAATAACATTTACGGTAATTCCATTTAGGGGACACAATTGAAGATGTCGGGTTTCGTTTGGATTTTAAATAAGATAAAAGCCGCATTGGAAAGTTATAAATCCTGAAGTATTTTAGGCACTATTACACGAACTAAAAAATGGAACAGAGTTTAAAGTTTATTAGCACTAGTTTGTTCAACGCCAATTATTTATATTTAGCATAATTGCAAAATTGATTAGCAACAAATAAAAAAAAAACTCTTGATTGTTGCTTGCTTAATGTTTAATGGCAAGTATTTCATGCACATTTAGAGTAAAAGTAAACAAATAGATAAGTACAATTAATTAAATCGTTTACTAAGTAATTTGTTTTGTTCTCATAAACTGTGGTGATGCCTTAGTATATTAATCATGTATGAGGATATTGCAAAGCCGGCTTCCTGGAGGGTTGTCTTTCATTTTTTTCACCAGTTCTAATTTTTTAAAAGCTCTTGAAATTATAAACTGGTATTCAGGTTTTATATTATAAACTTTGATTTCGAGCATCACCCAAAGACACGCAAACAAAAGACTTTACGTCCAGTGGCAATGATTTCATACATTATCAGGACGACAACATATTAACAATAAATCCTATAAATAAGTTCTACATGTATAATGAGATGCATGAGAATATTTCCCGGGACTCTGGGATTGTACCTTAATTATTCCGTGAACTTTTTGTTGGGCCTAAATTTGTACAGTTATTATGATAGACACTCATCTTACCTCTTTTCCTTTTCTAGGAATATAATTGGTTAAACAAACCGGGTTGAGACCGTGTATATTCTATATGGGGTTATACAGTGGGACTTATTTAATACACGGTTAGTAGTTGTGCTACGTTCCTTTATAAAATCAACACGGTGTTGAAAAAAATCTGAAAGGTATCAACAGACGAAGAAATTGACGATGAACAATTGAAATAAATTCATAAACACATTCAAAGCTAATAAGTTGTTATTAACTGCATTTGTTTGTGTATGTATGGAAGTATGTTCTTACAGTAATACTAAGTATATCGAATACTTAATCACTTTGATTGGCCGATAGTATAAATACCACATATTGAGCTTGTCGGTAAGCTAAATCAATTCGTTTGATGTGTTTTAGCTTTTGATTTTGCCATTTGATTAGGGACTTTTCGTTTTGAATTTTACTCCGAGTTCAGTATTTTCGTGATTTTACTTTTTTCGTTACAAAAGTGTGCTGGTGACTTCACACTATGTAACTAAATATCCTGCTGCTCCATACCTTTCTGTATTCATAATGACAAAAATGTACACAATTTTGATTAAATGAAATTAAAATACATTTTTTACATAATTAACTTGGACTAACGGACTTGATAATTCGTATCGTAGGTTATTGTTATTGTATTTTTAATATCATCATGTGAGCGTTTTGAAGTTTTACTCCGTGCTTCGATATAGTTCCCATTTACTTTTTAAACAAAGTTGAGCAGACGTTTAAAATCTTATAGAAGTGTATATGAATTTAGTTAAGGCAACAATTATTTAATTATTCAATTCGGATTGATTCCTTGTTTGAATTAACATCAACATCATTTCAACGAATTCGATCTGTAGCCACGTGTTAAGAAAAGGTTACATATATACTTTTGTTTTGTTTACGAACTTGATTTTTTAAAATAATGTGCTTTATGTTGTTTTTGATGCAGAGTTAAAAGTATACATTGTTGCCGATAGCTATAAAATGCAATCAGCTGATTATTGATTTTCTGTCAAAATCGTAACGTGTGACGAGTTCAAGGTGAAATCCCAGTATTGTCTGATCAGTGAAAAAGTCCGAGAAACTCGAAAAAAATAAACAAGATGGACGAAGTCGAACTGTTATATTTCTTTCGCCAAAGTCTTTCGCCAATAATGAATTTTAATCGCCAGCGGAAACCCTGATTGGCACCATTACATAACATGCATAAGCTAGTAAGAAATATCAATTCATCAAACTGACAAAATAAAACCATGTATACTGTAATGTGATTCAGTTTGCTGTTCAGTCATGTATCACTCAACACTGGTACCAGTGTATCTGACATGTAGGTACATCTTTAAACACAAAATGTAATCATTTGGTATTTATTTTTAAATTAGTTTTCTTATTGCCTTACAAAATCCCGAACATATAATACAAATAAAGGTTGAACATGAATTTTGGATAATCATTTTTGCGGTGAGTTTTTTTTTTTTTGTTGACTTTAACAGATTATGTCAATAGTATTAAAACATTTGACTTTTCTACACTTTACACAAGTATTCCCCATTCCAAACTGAAAAACAAATTGAAAGAGTTGGTATTGCTTTGTTTCATACAAAAAAAAATAGCCAACGTATATACACGTATTTTGTCTTATGGAGGGATAAATCCTACTTTGTAAAGAATCACTCTTATTCAAACAAAAGTTTTCTGAAACTGACATTATCAAGATGCTTGATTCTTGATTGACAACCTATTTGTTACGTTTGGAGGACGTGTTTTTCAACAAACTATCGGCATTCCCATGGGAACCAATTTTGCCCCTCTTCTTATCGACTTGTTCCTTCATTGTTATGAGTCTGCCTCATATCTCGACATACATCTTGAAATTGACAATGAG